AAAAAAGTAGAAAACAAAGTAAATTCGAATACATGGGCAGTGTAATCTGATTCTGTCACGAGACATTTACAAACGATTACAATTTCCTCAAAAAATTTTACATTCAGATGAAGTAATCATATGTATGGTTCGATTCGCCACACCCTGTCGAATATGGCTAACTGTTCACTATAAATGGATTAACAGAGAAAGTCAGTAACTGCCTACACATAGTGGCAAAAATTGATTTTATCAACGTCTTATGTACATTCTTGATATATAGGCGAATGAACAGCTAACCTAACATTGAGTAACCTATCTATTTTAACATTTAGATTATATTTAAGATATTGAAACGGCAAATCTGAACCAAATCAATCACACTACAAGTCATGGCAAGAGATCATTGACTCAGAAGGTACAATTGGAAATATTTTGTTGATTGAACGTGGTTTATTGGTCTTTTTATTCGTTTATGAAAATGGTAAGGCAACATACCAGGAAGTAATCGAACGTCAATGCAAACATGTCTGTACAAGTGCTGTCCATGATTTTTGTCGCTGGGGACCACAGTGTCAATATCAAGAAAGTGGCACATGTAGATATGGTCGAAATCATAATGCAAATATCTTTAATGATTTATGTTCGAAGATGAAGTATTCCACACTTGAGCAGAACCACGATTGGCAAGCATGCGAAGTGTCTAATCCAGCACATCTGCCTCATTATCATTCTATAATTTTACTGGAAAAAAAGTATGATCCAAACTCCGCAGAAGCAAGAGAATTGACTTGTCCATTAGATGGTGATCAATTTCTTTTTAATTATACCGATCAAAACACTGTTGGGCTTTAGTGCGATTTATTCGCCTATGTTTAGCTCATTTTCGTAATTCACCGTTTAAACCATCAGGTTAAGCATCTCGAAACGAGACAAGACCCAATAAGGATATGCTGAAAGCAATTGATCCTCTATTTCGTGAAATATTAGCTCTAATGGTTGTGATTATTAATGCCTGTATGCGAAGTGATCGCTCTAGCCTATATCCATACTTAAGGAAATTAGTAGGCAAAGATTATGTCAAGCATATCAAACTAGAATTAGTTCATTACTTATGTACACTGGATACAGGAGCTCATGCAATTAATTGTGCAGATGAAATCAAAAATATTCAAGATAATCAAGTCATTATCAGTCCAAGTGTTATTTATGATGTTCCACAATGCTTTTTACCTAGTAGCGCATTAGATTTTCATCAGATGTGGTATCGTGAAACGCCAAGAATTGCTATTAATTTTAGTAAGCTCTCTGTACCATTTACAAACTGGTTATTTAGTCATATCAAAGATTATGACATTGAAAGATTATCGATGAGATAGACTCACTAATGAAAAACACAGTCTTGTTCATGCACATTTGGGGGAATATGCAAAGGAATCAAATAGCAAGGAAACTAAAGTTAAACTGCTCGTTGCATCGGATAAATTTAATGTATTTTGTTCAATAAACTGTATGTACTCTGATTATCTAGAAATCTGACATTTATAATATTTCAGAAAGACATACACCAGTCGTTGCTACTTCATTACTATTTGTCTCAGCCATAATTCTTATTGAGACTCCATGGTTGGTCGAACTGAATCGTAATTAATGATTTCTTTTATTAATTAGTGGTAAAATAATTTACGCAATAGTGTTTCATTTATTATTTCTTTAGAAGCAGAATACTCTGCCTAGAGTTGCTAGTGTAGGATGCTATCAATAGTTAGGCAGTAGCAATCGTTTTTTATTATTTCTCTTTTCCCAGCTTCTAAAGTGTTCTTCCGTTCCAATGAGCATATTTATCCTGTTAGATAAGTCAGACGACAGACGAAAAACTTGGAATATTTTGTGGACTGGTCAGGCGACAGACGGAAACTTGAAGAAAACTCTAATTACTCTTTCCTACCAACCGCTGAGGGTCAGGCAACAACAAAATCATTAGGGACAAGTGACTGGCTAAGTAATCATGTTAATCTACCTAAATTCGGTGAGAATGATCGTATATCTTGAAAAAGGCCTAGTAGTTGTACGTTGATTCAAAAAATTTCTATGTCTAAAAAGGATTTCGTATATCTAATTTTGTGTGGAAAATCGAATGAAAACAATTCTAATCAAAAACGCATTTCATCATGTTATGGCTTTGCACAATGGGATGAAAACATTGCGTTTAAAAGAGCATAAAATGATATAGTAGGAAATACCCTAGACATCAAATCTTTTACAATTCACTGACTCGGGACGTATAAGAAGCTTATATCACTGATATTCGTAATAAGTGCAACCCTTATACGATCCTTATTAAGTTCGTATATAAGTACTCGGCTACGATTGTGGTAATTATTCTGGACGAGACTAATAGGAACTCGAGAATTACTTTATAAGAACTTGATAAGTGATCCATAATTTTAGTAGGCTATTTATCAAAAAGGGCCCGCAAAGATGGTCTTATACTCAAAGAGGAAGATAGATACCGACTTAATTCTTTTTTTTTAGTGGATTAATCAGCACTTCAGCTTGATTTTTATCTGTAGCGCAAGAACTTTTTGTTTTGTTTTGCCTTCAGGAGAAGTGTACTGAGT